AATGTTTGTGGCTTACTCTCCTTGTGAAGGGTGTCAATGATTGTCTTCTGGACAACTGTCAGATCAGCAGTCTTCCCCATGATTGTGTAGCCTAGTGAACCAAACTGAGAGACCATTTCGAAGGCTCGGGAAACCTTTGCGGGTGTTTTGAGTTGTGAAGCCGATTGGCATGTCACCATATTCTAATTTATTGAGATAGTGAATTGGTGGGTTTTTGTTAAATGTGAGCCAAAATCATAAAAATTAAAAGAACCAAAGACTTAAACTACTTCAGTCTGTGTGCATTGAATTTATTTAATACACGAGTTTCACAATTTGAGTTGAATTACTGAAATAAATGAACTTTTCCACGACATTCTAATTTATTGAGATGCACCTGTATATATATGGTTATTTGTATGTATGTACCAAGCTTTCCTGTAAAACCACAACAAATTCCTTGTGTTTGCGCACACTTAAGTGGTGAATACAGCCCATTCTGATTCTAATAAGAAAGCACCCCTACAACAACTTCTGAAAGTGAACGGTATGTGTTTTACTCAAGCATTACATAAAAATTTTATTTTAACATGAGTTTAGGAACTGAATAATAAAAAGGAAAAATAAAACACTGCTTAGTATTTACTCTTTGAATTCAATATGCACTGATTCTTATTTAAGCTACAAAAGTTATTCAGGTAAGAGCAGTGAGTGATTTTCTGTCTTTTGTTCATGGCCCCAAATATTGCAAGCTGTAGCGATGTGCATATTGCGATATGTGCGATATGTACATTTGCAATATTTCGGTAATTTCAATATATTGCACATCCCTATTGCATAATATTATAAAATTTGAAAAAGGTACTTTATATCTAATACAATAAAATAAACATGACGACAAAGATGAATTTTTATCAGCTATTACTCTAGTCCTTTAGAAATCATTCTAATGTACTGATTTAGAGGTCAGTAAACATTTGTTACATTTATCAGTATTGAGAATAGTTATGCTGCTTAATATTTGTGGAAACTGACTATTTCATGATTCTTTGATGAATAGAAATGTCAAAAGAACAGCATTTATTTTAATTTTCAGATTTTAAAAAAATGAATACCTTTACTGTTGCTTTTTGATTGATTGAATGC